TATAATATAATATAATATAATATTATCGTGGCTTCCGCGCAAGGCTGCCAGGATTGGGCAAGGATGAGCAAGTTGCGGCGACCACGCTTCGGAGGCGTTGCGCGTGAGCGCCGGCATCTCTGTGCGATGAAATCGAATGCAGGCGGCTGACAACAGACTTCGGGACAATTTGGCACGTCATCTCAGGCCGGCCTCAGATAAAGCTTGCGAAGAGCAGATGCGCATATCTTTGCGCACCACCAGGGAACAAGTTCGTTGTGGAGGCAGCCGTGAACTGCCGCAGCAAGTTCCATGTCGGGGCCTGACAGTCCGATATGGTGGACAGGTAAGCACCGAGAAGAGAGACCAAACCAGAGGGAAGAGCTCTGGTGGCGATGCGCCATTCCAGCTCGAGACAGGGAAGAAGATAGAGAAGGAGTGCCACAAAGGAGAGGCAGACAGAGAGCGAGGCAGCACAGAGTAAAGAGAGAAGGCGAGGGAGTGAGAGCGCCTTCACGTGTGTGATCCGAAGTCGAACTTACAGCGTGTGGAGTGGGTTGGTTGGTTGGTTGGTTGGCTCGTCAGCGCGCCCGGCAGAAAGAAGCGAGAGGAGAGGTGAGGAGGGAAAAGACAAAGGAGGGATGCAAGTGTGCACTCCGATGCCTCCACGCCGGCCACGGCACCTTTGCTGCGATCGCTGTGCTGCCTCTAGTTTGCAGCGAGGTACAGATCGGCGAGATGAAGGTCGTCGGATTTCAGCATGAGCAGTTCAGCGAGGGGCACCTTAGTTTCAAGGAAATCCTCTGCACGAGCCAGTTTAATGCTAAATCGGGATTTGCGAGTGGAGTGTTGGACTTAGGCTGCTGCCGCACTTAACCCTGGAAAACCTCATCGCAGGCGCAAGTCTAAGCTCCCCATATGTGGGTCTTTTGCTGGAGGCTCTTCCGCTGCAAGTGGACTCCGCTCAGGTCTGCCATATCTTTTAATGATCTTCCTATGCTTCGCCTACATGGGCCTTTCATCTCTCTGCAAGGTCTCGTGCTTGCAAAGCAGTAGCACCTTGTCGCCCACAGGGGCACAGTCATAGGGTGGACCCGCTACCCTAAACCCTATAAAAACTATAAGCCCTGTAAACCCTATAAACCCTATAAACTCTATAAACCCTATAAGCCCTATAAGCCCTCTATGCCCTATAAACCCTATAAACCCTATAAACCCAAACCCTTTAGGCCATAAGCCCTCCCGCGTGCTCAGGAGGGAGAGCCCGATCCGACGACTTCGCTCCTGCTGCAGCTGAAGAAGAGCCTGTCCTGCCGGCTCTGCTGAGTAGAATTAGAGTATAATATATATATATATACATAAATATATATATATATATATATATATATATTTATTTATTTATTTATGTATGTATGTATCTATGTATACATATGTGTATCTATATTGTTTTGTATATTGTATAGTATACGTTGCATACTCTATGTTATGACTACTTTGTGTTCTGAGCGCTTCGAATGCTCATGCTTAGCAACACACCCTGTGCAAAAATGTGGCATCCGCAGCGTCCACGGGCTAAAGCCCCAGACTTTGCGCACCTGCTTATTCGTAGTGCTTTTGATGACGGTGCCACCGGCTGGATCGATGTGACACGCTGACATGGCCAGGTGTGTAGACGACTGGGAAGCATCCCTTCGCTCCGTAGGGGCCCGGCACTGAGTTGATACCTTCCGGGCTGCCTCGCTAGGACGTGGAGATCTTTCAAAGACGCGTTCTGAATTCGACTGCCATGAGGTCGTGGTTTTAATCTTCTCGGTGTGCTACAGGAAGATGCACTTGCTGACCGGCAAGAGGAAATCTGCGTAGGCAAAAGGGATGCCTCTGTCACTCCTTGCCTGCGCCGCTTGTGGGAGTCACAGCGGGGTCATGAAGGCTCCTTTCATATCTTTCATTCACTCGCGGCTTGACATCTCATCGCACTCACTGCTGTCATGCGAATTCCGACATCGATGTCTGGGCTTTCAGCAGCGTCAAATCAGAGTTCGAGCAAAGCAAGACCTGCTGCAGCCGACCAGGCAACGTTTTGAAACCCCGAGCAACTTTCGGACTTAGGCGACATGCTGCCCGCGGGCTGGAAACCCGATCTTTGCACCCGTTGCAGTCCCCAACATGGGGAGCACAATGGGTAGAGCCATCTTGAGTGCGTGCCTTCTTCCGCTGTGCGTGCTGCACTTGCAGGGTGGCTTGGCAAGCTGGATACGCTTCATGCTCTGTTCTTGCACTTATGTTTCGCTTAGGTTGTGGCAAGCCGAAAGAAGCTTGCGTGAAGGGCGACAAGGCTTGCAAGGAGCTGCAAGAGCTTCTTCGCCTCTTGACTGCGCGAAAGCTTTCGTGCCACTATCATTCTTGTCGATGTCGTTGCCCGTGAAGCTTTCTGTGGCCACAGTGACACACTACCAATCACACTTCGAATTACCAAAACTATTACACAAAATTATGCCCCCTTCCCATCGAAGAGCCAAGGTGAGACCGACCTCAACTGTCCAAAGCATCCTGACAGTCGATTTATCGGACCTCCGCGACTGACGGTCGTCGGGGAGACCTGCCCCTCGGCTAAGAGGCTTAGGGGTTTAGGGGGTAGGGGTTTAGGGTTTTAGGGTTTTAGGGGTATAAGGTTTAGGGTTTAGGCTGTACGGCTTTAGGGTTTTAGGGTTTTAAGGTTTAGGGTGATAATATCGGGGCCTATAGATAATTACCCATACTGTTTTGGGGGTTCCTTAGCATAAGTCTAGTATAGAGCGCCCCAAAACCCATGCAGAGGCTTAAGGCCCCTATAGTAGATCAGAGAGGAAAAGCACGGCTACCCGGGAGAAGTACAGGAAGAAGTAGCAGTAGCAGTAGTAGACGGGGAAGTAGAAGTATACTAGAGTAGAAGCAAGCGTAGAAATAAGAAATATTATCATGGTCGTCGTGGTAGGGTTTTTTAACACACGCTTGTTACAACGAGGTGTCATAACTGGGTCCTGATATCTGTGTTGAAAGGCAGCGCGGTTGAGTTCCTGTACAAAGGTCCGGCTCTTAAACTGCACAGATCTTTATGAGCTAGCCTTCTTCAGCCGCTCCGCTTGGCTCCTGTCCCCAGGTGGCTTGCCGGTAGTGTACACCTACGCTCGGCAAGCAAAGGATTCCCAAGCAAACATCGAGTGCATGTTGTAAGATGCCCACACACTCTGACAGGATTCCGAGTTTACTGACGAGTGGGGTGCAGGCTCCTCAGGTCTGAAAATGCCACTGCTGGGAACGTCTCGCAAGGTATCTAGTAATGATATAATAATAATGGTAAAATAATAATATACATAATAATAGTAATAATATAATATAATATAATATAATATAATATAATATAATATAGTATAATATAATATAATATAATATAGTATAATATCATATATATCATGAGCATGTGCACTCAGGGTGGTTTGCCACCCCTGGACCTTTCACACAGAGCTGCTGCTGGGGGCGAGGACGTCGAATGGGATTCGGGGCAGAGTCGAGTTTGCCATATATATATACATATATATATATAGAGGCCCTAAGTCACTTTGATGCTGAAGACTATGTCTGGACTGCACATCCCTGAGAAAGTCGGGCGGTCTGCTTCGAATCATGCTAGGAGCTGTGGAATAATGTTCCTTTTGATCCGAAGATCCGGCGGTGGCAGCCCTAGGGTACGATGGCATGTTAGAAGAAAAGCGGTGTATATCATGGTGTTCATATGAAAGGTATCGCACCATGATGTACAAATTGCCGCCGCACAAGGCCTTCGAGGCAGATTCAGCCATGCTTGAAGTGCTTCCAATGGTCGTTCCATGGCCTGCCACGGCCAGGTCAAGTTGAGTGACAAAGACGATGCACCTTTCGAAGGCTTCAATTTCAGTTGTCCGCAGCACTCTCAGAAGCAAATGCATGTCGGTGTGTGCGCACCTGGTTTGCATTGCAGCTTCTTGTAACTCGCAGAGGTCAAAGCCACGGATTTCTGACGCCGTACCTTTCAAGCCTCAAAGACCATACGACTTGAAGCTGCACCGCACGGACCCTGAAGCATGTCCAGATGAATGCGAGACGAATCTGGCGGTTGAATTCGGAAACGACTTTATATCTGTACCTAGAACTGCCAGGATCCTCGGATTAACAAGAAGAACGACGAGGATTCGGTTTGTAGCCTTCTTAGTTCATGTCAGCTGGCCTTGGATTCAGGTTAAATGTAGTGTTCACTCTCAGGCATTGACTTGCACTGGGCCCATCCTCACACGGAGCTCAACCTATTGCCGGACTGTGGAGCAATCTTTCTTACGCTTCTTGCAGCACAGTGGGATGACGGCATGTTCGCCGCTAGGACGACACCTATTTCCGGATATTCACGACTTATGCCAGGAGCTTACTGGCCTACTGCACTTCCTTTGCCGAGCGCCCTTTTGTTATAAATCCTTCATGGTTCAAGGACGAAGAGGTGCCGACCTTACGAGCTCCTGGGGTGGTGCTCCTTGGGCCTTTTCCGCGTGTTCCCGAGGACGCCGTCTTGTTTTGCGAAGACACAGTCGGTGCACGGCCGAAGCCTTTGCAGCCTGCGATGCGCGATGCATGCTGTGTATGGTTGCTATGATTGAAGCATGCACGAGCCCCAAGGAATCGTACATGTGGGGCAGGTATCTTAGATTGCACTTCGCGTCCAAGCTGATTTGCAAAGTGCGCACTGTAGCATCTCTGCCAAGTCTAAAGCCTGCAATCTGCTGATCTTTCATCGATATGTGAGGTCCCCATGCGGACTGCAACCTCCCAGTCGTCTCGGCCCCAGAACCTCCGAAGCCTCAAAGCTGCATGTCACGACTCGTTCTTTTCCTCCTCGTTGCCACGATCACGATCACCGTTTCAGGTGTTGCCCTTTACGTTGATGGTGATGATGATAACGATGGCGACGATGGCAGTGACAATCGCGGCTCATGACGATGATGTTGATGATGATGATGATCATGATGATGATGATCATCATCATCATATTTCTGCGTGGCTGGTTGCTGCAATCGCTTGCCGGACCGATTCCCATCAGCTTTCAGCATACTCGGCAGGAGCCTCAGCTTCGCTACAATATGTGGCCTGTGGCCGAAGAGGCCAGGACACACAGGGCTTGTCTAGGACTGCCTTCTCTTGCCCGTCCTCAGCATGCGAGCATCGGGAAGAGGGGGTTCTCCACGCCACCGGAGCCTTCGATTGGTAACCATAAGGGTCGTAAGGAGTTCCACTTCATGCTGCTGAAAGGGGTGTTTTAAAAGGACATTCGCTAGAAGCGGTTACAAAACACAGCTCTGCACTGCTGCCGACGGAGACTGAGACCGGTCTTCCTCATGCTACACAGGAGCATCAAAGTGGGCACTCAAAAGAAAACTTCTCCCATGTTGGGAGCGTGAGAAAGTTGGCTGATGGCTGGCGACATGACTCTTCGACTTTGCATGATGCAGGCGGGTCGTCTTCACGGTTGAGGCTTTCAGCTGCGACGGTGAGTCTGTGCCAATCTCCCGGTGTGAGCAGAAGAGTACAGACCAGCAAAACATAGTTTGCAGGGTTTAGGGTTTAGGGACCCTTGCATTCTTGAGTTTTGTTCGAGGTCCACGAACATGACGGCCGGAGTCTTAATTCTTGGAAGTCTGGGGGTCTCTCTCTCTGTTCGCTCCTGCGCGTGTGAGGCGATGACGCCTCCTGGGGCACCAACCTTCACCGCAGCTTTGGTGACACACCCTGCAAGCCTAGCTCTCAGCCCTTTGATGACGTCATGTCGACGTGGAGACATGGTCCGCTGATGCCACCCTAGCTAGCTGTCAGGCCAGGCGAGTTCCGCCGGGTTTTGGCCGAAAGCCATAATTGCCAGGGCCAAAGTCGCTTCAGCATCGAAGGTTTCGTAGTTTACATGTTAATGTCGTCGATATCAAGTACATATCAGTATACACTGCGTATTGAGATCGATTGCCATGTATCCTCACATATGACTATGCACTGTGGTATATTACAAAAGACAGTTATTAATACTGTTGCTATTATTTGCGGATTTGCGTGTACACGAATGTCGCTGTACGCTGGTATGTACTGTTTTCATGTTTTCCATGTTCTCGATATATGTATATATATATACACACATAATATTGTACATGGTCACATACTGCTGTATATTGTGTGTTAACATATATATACACACACAATAGACACATACACCTGTCGATCGCAGACCATTCGATACACATTCTTCATACTTCATCTTACACTATCATGTACAGTGATATCTTTATAGTCCTTATCATCTCTTCATATAATTGATTGAATACAAAATCCACAGGTGTATATATAGATATAAAGGCGTGTGTGTGTGTGTGTATGCGTGTATGTATGCTATCATGTCTCAATACATCTGTCTATATGAAACAGCATCTTTTTATACACCATTACACATTGTTATATCAATATCTCTTCCATATCATGCGTTGTTTTACAGTATCACATGTGGCTAAGAACTACCTGTTATGTATCAAATAACATAACTTTTCACTACATGGTTTGCTGCTTGATGCTTCGATTGCAACGCACATGTTTGACAGGACTGGATCCCTCAGTATGATGAGCTGATAATAGGCCCCTGGGACCTGGGACGATGCTTCCCGCGGTGTCGAGTGCCGGTGAACCCGAGCAGTGCCAGGTCATGCCATCTACCTGGCGCTGAAGGCCTTGTCTGTCAACATGCTTAGAGGTGACACTGGTGACAAGAGCTGCCTTTCGCCAGGGCGTTGGCGCAATGAAACTGTTGTGCTGGATGCCTTTCCACAAAGCCGGAAAGGGGTCCGCTCCTTTCAACTTCCGACCTGGATAGACAGTAGCTGTAACATCGAGAAGGACCAGCCTGCTAGTCGGATGCTGCGGCCACGGTCCAGGTACCTCGAGCTGCCTATAGCGCACAAAAATCACACTCATTCGCGGGATGCTCGGGCCTGAGAGAGTTGGAATGGTGGGTAGAGGTCTGCTAGCAGCTGGTGGCATCATTCAGAATGAACAGGACAGGGCATAGCAACACATAGAATTTGGCGTTGGTCTGCATAGGCTGCCACGCTGCGTGATTACGATCAGAGGCCCGTCTTGCCTGCATTGGCGCGCACGCAACTTCAGATCCCAGAATCCTGATGGGCGAGGTATCACGTTCATCAGGAGCAGCAGATCCTTGTTGCCACCAGATCAGCTGCCTACTCAGAAGTCACGAACTCCTTGACTCCCTTGAAACAAACTCCCCTTGTGTCAAGAAATGTCGCTGCTATGTAGTAGCTGGAAACTCGTCGCATAGATAATAAGCTCCAAATCAGCACACTCATGCGAACAATTGCAGAGCAGTGTGTCGCTGGTGTATATGTATAACCTGTGGAGCCTTCTTGCAACAGTTCTATTGAAGGTACACGAAGTTCGATCTGTTTGGGTTTGATAAGTTTTCAGTTTTCAGCTGCAAATTTTGGGGGTGAGATTGACCTGCTGCAGTGTAGTAAAGTTTTGCAGCTAGACGTTGCCCGAATTTGATCCCGAATCAAAAAAGACTTGCAATCAGATAGTGTACTAGTCTGCCGTATGGTGGCGCGGTTGCTAATACGTAACTGCTTGTTGGGTGAAAAGCCGTGTGTTGCATTCTTGTGCAGGAAAACAAATTCAGTTTACATTCATTGACATAAGATCATTGTATACCGGGGTCATTTGTCCCGGGCTTTGTCAGACTGTGTTGCACGTTCTGGGTGCCAAATCCATATAAACATGTCCCTGCAGCGACAACAACAACAACTGCTGCTGCTGCTGCTGCTACTGGCGCCAATCTGCTACTACTACGGCTGCTGCTGCTGCTGCTGCTGCTGCTGCTGCTGCTCCTGCTACTACTACTACTACTACTACTGCTGCTGCTACTACTACTACTACTACTGCTACAACCACCACTACCACAACCACTACTACTGCTGCTGCTGC